AAGTATGAAAGTAGGTAAGGCAGCTGGTTATGATAGAGTATCTCTCGAAATGCTAAGGGCTGGAGAAGGAGTGGTGGCAGACCTGCTGTACACCTTGTTTAATTTATGTTGGGAACTTAAGCGGGTACCGGGAGACTGGTGCAAAGCCGTGATAGTCCCAATATATAAGGGAAAAGGATCACAGCAGGACTGTAAAAACTACCGTGGTATCAGCCTTCTTAGCATTGTGGGAAAACTGTATGCTAAGGTACTAATTGAAAGAGTTATGAAAGAAACTGACGGAAAAATTTGGGATGTGCAAGCGGGATTTAGAAAGGGAATGGGATGTACGGATCAGGTCTTTTCCATGCGCATGATCGCCGAGAAGTTTTTGGCCAAAAACCAAAAAGTTTTTTGTGCGTTCATGGACTTGGAGAAGGCTTATGACAGAGTGGACAGGGATGTGTTATGGCAAACACTGAACTCATTTGGGTTGAGCGCTGGTCTGATACAGGCATTGAAGTCTCTATATAGGGACTCTAGTGCTTGTGTCAGGATCAACGGGGCCTACTCGGACTGGTTTGACATCCATAAAGGTGTCAGACAGGGCTGTGTGGCTTCCCCGTGGTTGTTCAACCTGTTTATGGACAGTTGTTTGGAAAATTTGAAAGTAGAAGAATGCGGGTTAAGAATGGGTGAGTTAACCGTCAAATGCCTTTTGTACGCCGATGATCAAGTCATACTTGCGTCGTCGGCAGCCGAGTTGCAAATGATGGTTACATTAATGAACAGGACATTAAAAGAAAAGGGAATGAAAGTGAACGCAAGTAAGACGAAAGTTATGGTTTTTGAAAGAGAAGAAAGTAAAACGATATGTGAAATAAGAATAGAAGGGGAGTTGGTAGAGCAAGTAGATGAGTTTGTATATTTGGGATGTGTGTTTAGCAGGGATGGTAGATATGATAAGGATATAGAACGACGAGTGAATGCAGGAAATAGAGTGAATGGGGCTCTACACTCTATTGTGAAAAGTCAGAATGTGTCCAAAAAGGCACGTATGGCAATTCACAATGCTGTGTTAGTACCTACTTTAATGTATGGTAGTGAAAGTTGGGTGTGGCAGAAGAAGCATGAGAGTAGAATAAATGCTGTAGAAATGCGGTCATTAAGGAGTATGTTAGGGATGAAGCTGAATGACAGAGTGAGAAATTGTTTAATAAGAGAAGAGTGTGGTTTGCAAGATGATGTTGTGACCAGGATTAAGAAAGGAATGCTTCGGTGGTTTGGCCATGTAGAAAGAATGAATGAGGAAAGAGTGACAAAGCAAATTTATGTTGCAGAGGTGAACGGCATAGTCGGGAAGGGTCGCCCTAGGCGAAAGTTTATCGACCAAATTGGCGATATATTAAAAATGGGCCAAATCAAGAGTACCTTTAACCGACGAGCGTGTATGCGTAGGTATATGGATGTGGAGGAAGCGAGAGAGGTGTGTCAGGATCGTGCCAAATGGAAGTCCATAATCTCTGCCTACCCCTCTGGGTGACAGGCGTGAGTGTTTATGTATTATGTATATGTATATATATATATATATATATACATATATATATATGTACATATATACAACGTGTCCCAAAATTCAACGATAAGCCAACACCGGAGGATAGACCTGCCCCGGACTAATCGGGTAAAAAAAGAAAAAAAAAATATATCCCAATTATATTTTAAGTTATATAAAAAAAATGAAATTCTTCAGAAATTGAGACCGTTTATGATATTTTTCACTACCATGACCACAATTTTTTAAATATTTTTTTCTTTTTTTTTTATAGGCAACCTGAATAGTACTGCTATCTACCACAATTCTTAAAAACTCCAGAATAACTCTTGTTTTATCACGAAAATTAATGAAACTTATTTTATTCCCTAAATTTTTTGAAGACTTTTACTTTTAACCAAATTTAACTTATCGTGGTGTAAAAAAAAAGTATGAACACTAGTATGGCAAGTTTTTTTAAAAATTGACGCAACTAACCAATATTCCAAAATGGTATAATACTCTAGGAAAAGAAGTTATAAAAAAATATGGGCCTATTATTTCTTAACAGGGGCCAAATGACGGTCGGGTGTAATAAAAGTATTATTTCTTGAAAAATGTTTAATATTTCAAAACCAATGGTACAAACAGTTTCACGTGTAATTTATTAAGTTATTAACATTATAGCAAATGTTCGAACTGTTTGCCACCAGCATTAATACATGCACGACATTGCCTTAAAAATGATCGTTTTATTTGTCTTGCATATCTTCTGCTATTAATGTAATCAGCAGCCTGAGTGATATTTCGACGAAGCTCGTCCAATGTCACAATGGGTTTTGAGTAGACCCTGTTTTTAAGACAACCCCAATAGAAGAAGTCCAGGGGGTTCAAATCGGGTGAACGGGGTGGCCATAAGATAGGACCAAGTCGCCCGATCCAACGCCCTGGATACTATTGATTTAAATATTCTCGCACAGGACGGGCATAATGTGCTGGGCAACCATCATTTTGGAACCACATGTTTTGAAGATCACTTAAGGGCACGTCGTTTAACAATTCTTGCAAGTCATTTTGTAAAAAGTTTAAATAACTATTGCCATCTAAGTTTCCTTGTAACTCAAAGGGCCCAATTACTTTTCCATTTAATATGCCGGTCCATAGGTTAACCTTGAATTGATATTGGGATTTGTCTTGTCTCATCAAGTGTGGATTTTCATTACTCCAACTATGTAGATTGTGAAGATTTAAATACCCATCTTTCTTGCACGTTGTTTCATCCGACCATAGAATTTTGTCTAGGAAGTGGGGATCTTCACTGTGCCTTTGCAGCATTACACGGCAAAATGTGACCCGTAGCGGATAGTCCCGCGGTAATAACGTCTGCACACGCCTGTAGTGATATGGGTGAAGCTTGTGACGTTTTAATATTCGATGTGCAGAACTTTTCGGGATTCCTGTAGCTTCTTCTATGGCACGTACCGAAGTAGTCGAGTCATTTTCTATCTCCTTGAGAACTTCTTCATCACGATCCAATCTAGGTCTTCCAGCGCTGCTCCTATTGGATGGCATACGACCCTCCGAAAACGCTTGATGCACATTAATAAACACTCGATAATCAGGATATCTTTGAGCATTTGGGTATCTTTCGGGATACAGTCTGCTAGCAGCGTTAGCATTACATCGGCATTCTCCATAGATTAAATGCATATTAGCGTATTCCTGTGGTGTGTACGGTTGCGGCATGTTAAACGCCAAACAGTCCAAAATGCGCCAGAACTCTAAATCACAAAACACACAATCGTAGTCCAAGATAATGCCAGGTCAGTTCAGTTTGCAGATCACTTCCAGTCCAAATAATGCCTGGTCAGTTAAGTTTGCAGGTCGATTCCAGTCCAAAAAGCCAAGCCAAAAGTCGATAGTATGTACGAGGGCCACGTAAGTTGAATTGGGTACGGTGCGCAGTAAACAAAGGAGCAGAGCGTACTGAACCGACTTGCTGAGAATAATAACAGCTTCTCTACCTGCCCTGTTGTTGTCTCTTTTTAACGTAAATATCTCTATCTATCTATCTCTCTCTAACATCTAAGGTATTAATGCCCCATTCGAATTCCTAGAAATTGTAACAGGAACCCATTTTGGGCATGTAGTAAAAGTGATTACTGACAATTACAATTTAAGGAATTTGGCCCCTGTTAAGAAATAATAGGCCCATATTTTTTTATAACTTGTTTTCCTAGAGTATTATACCATTTTGGAATATTGGTTAGTTGCGTCAATTTTTAAAAAAACTTGACATACTAGTGTTCATACTTTTTTTTTACACCACGATAAGTTAAATTTGGTTAAAAGTAAAAGTCTTCAAAAAATTTAGGGAATAAAATAAGTTTCATTAATTTTCGTGATAAAACAAGAGTTATTCTGGAGTTTTTAAGAATTGTGGTAGATAGCAGTACTATTCAGGTTGCCTATAAAAAAAAAAAAGAAAAAAATATTTAAAAAATTGTGGTCATGGTAGTGAAAAATATCATAAACGGTGTGTATATATATGTATATATATATATATGTGTATATATATGTGTATATATATGTATATATATATGTATATATATATGTACAGTGTGTCTGGTTAAGGACTTGCGATATTCTAGGTACGTAGGTATATAACAACTATATTAATACACTCCACACTGAACTCTAATTCCCTTCCCCTCTATGTGACAGTCATTTTGTTTATTGCTTGAGATATTCTTTGTGTGTACAAAAAAAATCATATCTCTCAACGTTTTGGTCTTCTAAGATAAAAATAGGCTCATTCGGAGGGCAACAATATTGTCTATCGTTTACATTACGATAAAATGGGTTCACATACTCGTAACTTTAAAAAACAATATTTAAGTCCAAATAAATATCAAAAAATTATGCTTTATGGTAATCGGCAAATTATTGTTAATTACTGCAAAAGCAACCCAGTTTACTCTTTTTATTTTTGATAATTTTGAGCTCAGCTATAATACAACATTAAGTTTACAGCTGTATGTTTATTACTTTAAGAATTATTGATGTTTGAACTTTGATTCGTTAGTTCATAATATTTTTTGCAGAAAATACCGGTTCTGTCTCACACCTCGAATGATCTACGAACAAAATACAGATGTTGTTGCAAAATCCGTTCCGAGAAAGTCTTGGACCCGTCGAAAATCTCCATACATTCCACTTAGACAGTTGTAGTTGCACTGCAATCCGTGGAACGCATAGTCTCAGATCACTGGTTATTAGCCTAAGCACTTCTTCATCTTTGGGAGATACCAAACATGCCAGACACTCACTGGATGGTATTGGTTGGTGGATTCTCTTACACTACCACTACATTGACATTCTATTGTTTTCTAACACAACTTAAAATCACTGGCAGTTGCAATTACAATAGGTCCTGTCATATCAGCATTTCAACATGATAATATACTGGTGTTTGTATTTTTTACAGAGCTGATGCATCAATTGAGATATGGGATTTAAATTACACTCCATATTTAATTAAATTTATACCTGGTGCCGAAAATACGTCTGTAGAAGCACTTGGATGGGTGCACAACAGATTGTTATCTACAGGACTTGGTGGTGCCCTATTGGAATGGGATCTTAATACTTTAAGTATTAAAAATACAGTAATATTAACAGGATATGCTGCTTGGTGTCTGGATGTCAACCAAAGCGACACATTAGTAGCTGTGGGTACTGAACAGGGATATATTAATTTGTATAGTGTGGAGAATGATGAAATTGTATATAAGAAGCTCTTTGATAAGCAAGAAGGTCGCATAATGTGCTGCAAGTTTGATAAAACAGGAAATGTATTAGTAACAGGTATTATTTTGCATGTATTGTTATAAACACACGCACATACGTACGCACGCACGCACGAACAAGCACACACACGCGCACACGCACGCGTACACGCGCAAACACAATATACGAGGGTTGTACGAAAAGTAAGGCTCCCATATTTTTTACAAGTAGAAAACATTGTTTATTGTTATTAATTTATATATCGTTGAAAAGCTTACACTTTGTCTATTTTTCAACATAGTTTAAATTTTTTTCGACACACTTTTGAAGACGGTGCTCAAGCTTTTATATTTCTAAGTCGAATAATTCTCCTGCCAATTCGTTGAGGAAGCGTGTGACCTCTGCTCGGACTTCATCGTCGCTCTTGTAGCTTTTGCCACCTAAGTGTTCTTTTACATTGGGGAAGAGGTTATAATCGTGGGGGTTAAAGTCCTAAGTCTAAGTCAAGGCGCGGGTCCTTGACTCCGTCAGTCAGCATCCGGGGGACCCAGCGAAGACACACCTTGCGATAACTCAACGTTTTTGTTGAACTTCTTTCAATTGTGCAGTCTTCAGCTTCAGGAATGCGTTCAACAAGTTCACGGACAGCGACCCTCCGATCTATGAGCAGCTGACTGTTGATCTTCTGGACAATCGCATCCGAAACCGGCGGTCTTCTACTCCGTTCTTCATCGTGAACTTTCGTGCGACCAAAAGCCCTGTACCATTTGCGGACGTGCTGAATGGACACGCACTCTCCATAATCAGTCAGTTGCCGATGAATCTCTACGGGCGGTAACTTCTTTGCGTGGAGAAACCGTATAACTGCTTGAACCTCGCACCTGGCGGGAGCGGCGATCAATACTTCCGTCTTTGACGGCTGCCAAGCGAACACTGAGCGATAGGCATGAGACCGATATATCAAAACGTAACTAATAACGTTATGTTATCAAATATCATATCATATCGATAAACCTAAATACATAACCGTTATCACATATCCAACCAAAACCACGGAATATAAAAAACAGGTTGTAAACAGGTGTAACAAACTTGTTTTTTATATTCCGTGACCAAAACCAACTAACCATCTAACCAACGTACGAAACATAAAACGCAAACTGTAACGACTAACGATATGCTAACACCGGCCCAAAACTAACCCAACTAACCGATGTCCTTTGATATTCGTTGTTTCTCGTTCTAGCGATGGTATCATAAATACGTATGAAAGAGATGAAGCGAATATGGATTTCGTTGCGATGTTTTGGTAGTTATCATTAATCGGTGCACGTTGTGAAATATAATTATAAGATTCTTAACAATAAGGTCGAATATTAATGGTTAAAATTGCCTGATTTTTAAGTTTGTGTAGTTGTGAGAGTTGTCAGAATTAAATGATCTTTAGGAAGTTAGACACAAGACTTAAGATTTGTTTGATCACATTATATTTGATTTAGGCAACTTTTCTTTATGATGTAAAGTTTAGAATTTGTTGTTTTTTTAAACGTAACAATTACGCACTCGACTTTGGTGGCGTGTGCCATTCACTTGAAACTATCTGTAAAATTATTAATTTTTGATGTTGCGTTTCTGCATTTATTTGTAATATTTGTTTGCATTTTGTACATTTATTTTAAAACTTCTGCTAATCCTAGCCTAGTTAAGTATATAAAGGTAAATCGACCAACTTAAATAATCATTAATAAATAAACTACCTAAAATAATTTTCTATATAATATATAACTTATCTTTACTACATATGAATACAGTTTGATTATAGACTTTGAAATCAAACTTCCTACGTCTCACTTTAAAAGAAATATGGGTATTAACATTGTAGAAATAAATAAGGATAGAAAGAATATAATTTTAGATATTTATAATACTATATTACTGCATAACATTCATAAATTATATATTAACATACATGTCTAAATATTACATCTAAGATTATATTAGAGCCTCTGATTTCTAAATTAAAATAATCAAAGTAATTCCTAAAATAAATGTTGCACTGGCTGGTTCTACAGTTTTCGGCATAGATAATATACTATATAGAGCATAGGTGAGCCACTCTGACAATTTATTAGGTGACGAAACGAGGGAAGTTTCTTCTGCGCTTTTATAGATGGCGCTGGCATTATAAATTACTGAAAATTACACTAGAGGACACTTATCACCTAGGTTAAGTATTATTTCGTACATATTACAATAAAATTAAAATGAAGTGAATTTAAATACTAACTAATTGTTTTAAATAACTCTTCATTTAGTTTGTTTAAGAGAACCATGGTATGACTTGCTTCGTTAATTCTCATTTAATTATTTTATATACATACCGGTGTATTTCAAAAGTTTGCTAGCATGATTTAGCCTTCGGTATAAATAATAAATACCAGCACTGGCGCCATCTTTTAATAAATTGTGTAACAATATCGGGGAAAATAGTACTTTTACTGTGACATGGCGCTAGTATCAACATAAAAGAAGCAAGCTACTGAGGACTGAGAAGTTTTAGGTTATGTTACGGTTGTCGTTTGCGCATTCAGTAGCAAAACATTACTACTGATATCGATGTTTGAAAACGGTTTTCAATACCGATATGAAAACTAAATATCGGTTATGTAACCGTTGCAGCTAAAAACTGAAAACGCCCATGCTTACTGAGCGACGTAGCGAATCGCGGACGGGTGGACTCGAGAGTGGGGGAACCACTGCGCACGGCACTGTTGTCAGATTTAGCTTAGCATCTTCCCTCGAGGCTGTAGCTCATTGGGAACCTTACTTTTGGTATAACCCTCGTATAAAGGGTAATAAATTGTGTTGATACAACTTAGGGACCTTCAAGAAAAGAGCTTATTCCTTTTAAAAGGCCGGCAACGCACCTGCGATTCCCTTGGTGTTGCAGTTGTTCATGGGCGGCGGTAGTCACTAACCATCACGTTTGCCCCCTCCCAAAAAAAAACACGTAATAAGGTTAATTACGTGACAGAGCCATGCTGTAGCCATAGTAGCACGAATGAGTCAGCTCGACCGGGGAAAGACCATGCTATCACAGAATACCAGTGTGAAATGGCAGCTTAATGCTGCTGGGTTTTGTATGGTGAGTCTAGAGAACCGGATACCCCATTTACTGGTAACACGACATTCCATCATAGTCCCCAGCGGTGACAACTCATCTGCATTTTGATTCTTTATAGAGAATTGATGTAGATGTCAATCTCATTTATTACCCTTACTCTTAAAAAAAAAAACTGCCAATTCCGGCCCGAGGCACAAAGGAGTCTCTCAACTTGTAAAGAAGGAAAGAAATTAAATACATTTATTTACCCGAAATGAATGTACATACAAAAGAATTGACATTAAATAAAAATCTTAAAACTTCCATATCTAACATATATAAAAATACAATCTAAAATAATTAAGTTATTTATAATTTTACTAATATAAACGATCTATAATTAATAAACAAGAAAATAAGATATATGAATTATTAATTACAGGGTCTACTGATACAATAAGAGTGTGGAATGTAGAGACTGGTCATGCTACTTGCCGCATTTCTGTTAGCAGACGTGGGAAAGAGACAATTGTGTGGTGCCTCGCAGTACTCTCAGATAACACTATTGTATCTGGTGATAGCCATGGCAGGCTTACGTTTTGGGATGGAACTATTGGAGACCAGGTAAGCATAAACAGCAATTTAAAATTTCAAGCCATTCACATACTTATTTTTGTATAGTACTTCTTTTTTTTTTAATATGGTTGCATAGTTTCGCGGATGATTTACTGATATTGTAAATGTTAGGTACAAGAGAAGGTAAAAATTAAGACAAATTCAGTTTAAATCTTTAGAGATGTTGGGAATAATAAACTGTTGTATAAACCGGCAAAAAGGTTTATAGCCAGGCATCAATGAATATTGTAAGGTAGTTGGGCCAGAATCAATAACAAGGTAAAGAACAAGCCAAAGCCAGAAATCATTGAATAGTCTGTCAGCACCAACAAGAGTCTATTAATATCCACATTAAGGATTATATTAGGTTCAGAGACAAGGGATTGGAAATCAAATGCGAATAGAGGATGCTCGTTAAGCTATGAAATTGGATTGGCAATAAATTAAAGGGTGTTATAACTTTTAAAAAGAGAAAGAATGTCTTTGAAAGCCCAATAATCAGATGAATTAATTAAATGATGAAACAATGTAAAACGCGTGAAGGAAGGACAACATCTGGCGCAAATGAATTGTCTACGTAATATGCGTCCACGCATACTTCTATTTATGCTGAAGCACTTCATCTGATTACTATCTAGTTTGGAAGACCTAACTAATTACATTGTACAGTATAATATATGACAATAAGCGCGCACGATCAAATTAATCGCGCTACGCACTAAACTCAAGTTCGTTGTGTAGGATATACAAAAATCATAGTGAAATTACTTTTAATAAATATCAAGAAAAAGAAAAGTTATCTTAAACCTACGTACATTCCATTACTGGATGCTTCCTCTCATAGATGGGGCAGAATTGAGTTAATAGCGTTACTTAAATTCATCGTGGTTGGCTTTACGGGTTCACGGACATGCAGGTTTCCTCACTATGTTATCCTTCGCCACAAAAAACGTGGTAAATCAGTTCTTAAAATATAGTTACACTAACAATTTCATTGGTATCGGCGGTGATTGAGTTCGAATTTTTAATTATAAAATTTTAATGTGAAGGCTTTTAAGCTAACCTTCCGCTTCTTTAATAAATACATGTATTTATTTTGTTTAAATTTTACTTATTTTACGTTGTGTACCACAATTTGTTCTATTTTACTTTAAAAGATCGTGGCAGCTCAGGAGGTTAGCGCTAGCTGTAGATTTCACAGTACGCGAGCAACCTGGGTTCGATTCCCGCCGGCACCAATGAAATTGTTATTTGCAATTTTAAGTGCTGATTTACCACGTGCTCGGCGGTGAAGGAAAACATTGTGAGGATACCTGCATGTCTAGGCAATAAGAAAACGTTGCGGACACTTCCTTGTCCTAAAACTCTCTCAGTAATGAGGGGAGGCCCAGCAGTGGGACATATATAGCATGTAACTTTACTTTACCTACTTTAAAATAAATAAAAAGTTTAATTTAAAATCCAAAAATGGACGCGTATCATGATATTTCGTGAAAATTGATATTGTATAGTGAAGTTGGCTCAGGAAGTTGGCAAGCAAACTCAATCCTCATCTTGTCCTGCGTATATAGTTCGTAATATATTACGCGTCAACTTATTGGAGAAAATTTGCATAGCATACTAAGTATTTAAAATTGATGTATTTGATACATTCCTTTCCAGATAGAGTCATATACAACGCACAAATCAGATATACTATCTGTAGTGGTTTCTGATGATGAGAAAAGCTTATACTGCAGTGGAGTAGACCCAGTTATTATGAACTTTATAAAAGTAAGCAAGGGTTCTGGCAAAATATCTGGTGCTCAATGGGTGAAGAATGTACAGAGGAATATTCATGAGCATGATGTTAGGTACACGTATTTCCTTTTTATTTAACTACTTGTGTTTATGTATATATTTATATTAACATAAGTATTAGAAACCGGGTCAGATTTAAAGGTAAAAGGCCCTATGGTTCATTCTGGTCTTAATTATTAAATAACACTATTTCTTCCAGAGCTCTTGTTATAAATGGAGATAAACTGGTGTCAGTTGGAGCTGATGGGTATCTTACACTGTCAAGCTATCCACCGAAATGGGTTATGAGGATACCGCCTATGATTCCTGCAATCAGATCGTCAGTGTGTGCTGAAAAAAAGCTTCTGTTGTTAAGGTAAGGTGGCATTAATGTATGTAATAATTCATTTATTATGGTTATAAAGATGTTTTTGATCATTATGTATATGATTATAATATTTTACAGTAAATTAATGTTATAGCCTGTTAATGTCCCACAGCTAGCTACAAGCCTCATTTCATTTTAATTGCGCTGCCCTGTTGCGTGTTGGCGGATTTGCAAGTCTTCGAAATATTTTGTTTATAATTTCTAAGACATGTACTTTCTTCACCATGACTTTTCTACATCGTCGAGCATGTTGTCAATCCTGGGCTGCTCACGTACTGTGAAATTTACGGCGAGTGCTTAGTCCCTGGGATACCACGAATCTTTTATTTTGTAGACAATGTCAGAATGTTTTAACTAAATAGGATGTAGTGTGTTGTTTGTGCACAGAAAATAAGCTAATATTATATTAAATTAAATTGAAAAACATTCTAATAGTCCACTTGATGGTGTTTGGTTACTGCAGTTTTTTTTTTATAAGATAAGGGTGACAAACGAGTACACAGTCCACCTGATGGTAAGTGGTTGCTGTGGCCCATAGACATCTACATCTATCCTCGTTAGCGAATAAAATGCAGATGCGTTGTCAGCCGTGAGGAATAAGTTGAAATGCCTCTTTTCCCGTAAAAAAGGTCTCCGGTTCCCTACACTCACTAAACGAAACACAGCAGCATTAAGCTGCTATTTTACGCTGGTATTCTGTGAGAACGTGATCCTTCCCCGAGCGAGCCGACCCATTCGTGCTACAACTATACTATTAATATAGCTGTAGCATGGCTCTACAACGTATATAAGTTCATGAGTACATATAGACATCATACAAAAAGACCACAGATTTGCTGTCAGCCCTGAGGAGTAAGACAAAATGACTTTAATTACACTCAACCTTAATATCTTTCAAACTAGAAAACAACAGTTTATGCAGAGTGGCGTAGATTGGTAAAGTACATACATATTCAGAAGGACTACTATTTAGAAAGACTACTAGAAAAGGTTCATAATAATTAGTATATTAGCTTTTTGTAGACTTCCTTCTACCGGGTCAGCCGGTAGACATTGTTCTACTTTGTTCACCTATTGCATCTTATTTTGTCCTCACCGTAAAACAAGTCAATACAATTTGTTAAGTGCAGACTTGATTCGCAATTGTCTGGCTACATTTTTAAATAGTTAAATTGAAGCTTTTATCTTTACATCTAAACATATAAATAAAATTGAAGTGACTGTCTATAATATCGAAATAAGTGCCTTATATTGAGTCGAGGAGGCTATTTTTACATCCGATAGTGGAAAAATGAATAATTAGTCTGTCTGTTTGTCCGGGATAATCTTTTTTAATTTTGAACTCATTGTAATGCAATTTCACGAACAGATAGAGAGCTATACCAAGACCAAGAGTGAGCTAGGCAATATTTTATCACATTAATAGATGTCTAGTTGTAAATAAGTATGTTTTCTTTTTCAGATATTCCAACCACTTAGAGATCTGGAAACTAGGGTCCTATGCTACTAATGAAAGTGGAAATGTATTGATTTCCAATGTTAACGTGAAACAAAACTTAGATGAAGAACATGAAAACAATCAACTTGAACAGGACACAGCGGTAGCTGATTATAAAAAAGTTAATATGGAATCCAATGAACATTCGCAAAGGCTAAAATTAACAGAAAAACCAGTACAATTGGTTTCAGTAAATACAAAAAAGAACAAACAAATTCTAAGTTGTCAATTATCGCCAAATGGAGAGTTTATTGTTTATTCTACCGACAGTGATGTCAGGATGCTTAAATTAGATACAGTATGTTTTATGTTACAATTTGGTAACAATCTGTATTCATATTAGAATTATTATAACATTACTATTTTCATTTGTATATAAGGCCTTACTTATAATCGTTGATTATAGCATATTTAAATTAATTATTAATAATTATCTCTATAGCCGTCTCTTTCTTTTCTTTTAGTGAAAAGACAGAGACAGCGAGAGAGAGAGAGAGAGAAAAGGAGAAAGAGAGAAAAACGTCAAGCCTTTCTAAAAGATTTTTTAAGAGTAGGGACCATAATGTTTATTTTTATTGCAAATATATAATTATGTACTTTGTTTTATAGTGTCATATTTTCAACATTAGACATAAATCTGTTATAAAGTTGTAATAGTTATTACATCATGATTTCCAAGAAATTTTTCAAAGATTTGAGATATAAAAAAATATTTTTATTTTTAACCTGAAATGTTTTTGATGAGATTCTAAGTAGCAAAACAACAAAAAGTAAAACAAAAAGTAGCATTTTTATACAGTTATGCGAATGATATAATAAAGTTATGCCTATATTTCATGTACATCCACTAATTTACAGAATGTTATGTGCACAATGTGTTTAATTAACAATTTTTTTTTAATAATATTTCTTATATTTACGTTTCTTTATAGGCGTCGTGATCGCAAATACCTTTATTATTATACTAAAACTGAATTAATATCTTACAGGAAGATGAGAGTAATATATCATTAACAAAAGTTTTAATAAGTGGGTTGTCCACAATGTGCGACCGTATTGCATTCACTGAGGATTCTCAAACAATGCTGGTACATTCCTGCGGAGAAATAAAAGTACTGCATGTGGATTCTGAGGCTGGTGCAACTGTTGTACAAACAATTTCAACTGACAAATGTAAGAAATATATAATTTTAATAGGCCCTAGTTATGTAAAAATGAGAAAAGATATAAATTTAAATAAGTATGTTATTATTAAAAAAAGAAATTAATAGCTGCAGTGATCTATAATTAACATATTAAAGTTTAACTTATGTAATTTAATAAAAAAAAATCTTTTTTTTGGTCGTGGAAGAAGAAGGGGAGATCTCCCGCCGGGCACGGTGATCGGCCCGGGGAGTGGCCAACGCTCCGTGTTAGTTACAGAGCTGTTCTATATATAGTGCAGTACTCCAGTACTTTGATAGCGTTATTTAGGCTTTGATGCGTTTCGCTTGTGGCGCGACGACAGCGCCGCCACAGTTTATTCAGTAAATGAATATAAATACATTATAACAAGCGTCGGGATCTCTTTTATTATAATATCTCGTGTCAGGAGACTCCACTCTTCCATAGTACCACAGAATAAATAATAGTACAAGAACAGAAGGTTCACTCTCTGATAGCAAACTTGCACTTTTAAGTCTAGTCACAACGTCGCTAATGTTCATAATACTTTGCACGCCTCGGATACGACCTTGGTTAAAATAGCCTACCATTTAAATCGTCGAAAAAAATTAATGCGGCGCGCGTATTAAATCAAAATGCACCTTACGTCCGCGTATGAGAGTCATCACTGTGTATCACTTAGCCCGTTACGCGCCTTTGTTAAGGCCGCTCCTACTGTAGGGTTAGGTGTTGTGAGAAAACAAATTGAATCCTTTGATATTAGTTGGTAGTAGAATACACTGAGGTGTTATGCAATGCATTAGTAATTTGCTAATAAGAATATTATTGTACAACGTGAGGAACGTTAATAATTAATATGCAACATCGAGAAAAATTAAGATTATATCCTTATAATCGCGAACGTTTATGAAACTCAGATAATTTACCTTCTTACCATTTTTAACCGATTTAAAAAAGGAGGAGGAATTCGACTATATTTTTTTATGTGTGTTACCTCAAAACTTTTTTCTAGGTGAACTGATTTTGATGATTCTTTTTTTTTATTTAAACGCTGGTGCTCATAATTTATATGCCCATATAAATTTGATCAAGATCTGACCAGTATTTTTGGAGTTATACTTAATAATGCGTATTAATATTGAAGAAAAAATTTGTGTAATCAAAATTTTTAATTTCATTACTTATCTCTCTTCATCTCTTTTTAAAAAACGTTACCTCCACAATAGGATTTTCTCCTGTATCGCGGGGGAGTTTACATACATAGATGTCACAAGGACAAACATCCAACCCCAGAACAGTGATTTGTAGGTCATACAAATATTTGTTCCGTGCGGGATTTGAACCCGCGGCCCTTAGCGCTGCAACTTATTGCTAAGCCACTGTGCCACGGAGTCGTCACTTGTCTGTTTCACGTTTGTTGTTATTTACAAACATGCGACACGCGACGCCATTATTAATGAAAGAGTGGCAATGAGAAGTCCTGCTATTTTCAATCTCTTTCTTTTATCGACCAAGTATTAAAATCACTCCAGCATATGCTGATCTTGCATTTGTAGGCAGTCGCTAGTACTGGAAGGTCTACTTACACTGAACTGTTTTAAGGTCATTGGCATTATACGCGAAAAAATTGAAAAATGCGAAGGCCGTGGTCAGCTCGCAAATCAAATAATGAATCTGTAACTATGGCGTCAGTAACTAGGTACCTAATTATCTAGATCTACGTATAAATAATAATATGTTACCTTCCGGTATCCTTAGGCATAGTAAAAAATGAAAAGTCGACATTTCTATTGCTATTGCCATTGCATATTCATCTCAAAAAACCCAAAAAGTACTGCATGCTACAGTACTCTTTGGCTTTTTGAAAGACCATACTTGAATAAAAACTCAAAAATAAATATCAAAAGTGCCTAAATACTTATAAGAGAAAAATACTTTTTTGTTTACGTAAGGCGCGCTTCAGCTAGAGTGCGCGACAACCCCACGGAATTAGTCTCTTGTAGGGGGCCGCGCAGCGTAGGTATATTTTCATGCCTCAAGCACGGAGTGAGACAGGCCTGATAGTACTTACATTGCAATATATGTGCATTCAGATTTATACGGGTTATTTTTCTAAGTGTATCCAAATTTAATATTTAAGTTCCAATATACAAATACCGATTTTGCTATTAAAATTCGAGTGAATATAAGGCTTTTACATTTATATGAAGTTATTCCGAATAGAATGTGATTTTTAGGCAACAGCTACAGCGTACGCGCTCCTATGTGTGCAATTCCATCCACAAAGTTTTTGTCTACTAGATTTACTTTCGTAATGACAAGCTCACTAGGTACTAATGCTTAAGTGACAGCTACACGACGCCAATTATGATTCCAATTTTACCTTTACACTTTTAACGGGCTTAGCATTATTATGACTTATTTAATAAAATTGTAATTAACTATTTACAAATAAATCACTTTAGTCCACTAGTCCAAATAACTAATTTATTGGTATCTCAAAATGGAATCAGTTTCTTTCTATGTATAGACGAGCATGCTTTCATAAATTATTTTTTACACGTAACTGTGTTTGAGCAGTTTTGAGTTCCTTGAATTTAGCAAGTTTTTGCTGCGGAGGTCTTCGTAATTTTCGTCCTCTTTGACGTAAACACGTCTCTTTATTTTACCCCACAGATAAAAGTCTAACGGTTAAAGATCCAGCGACTTTGCAGAACATAGTATAGATCCTCCGCGCGCAATCCACCTATCGTCATATTCATTATTTAAATAATCGCGCACTGCTCTTCAATAGTATGGTTAGCCGCCAAATAATTGCTCTTAGATTGGTGCACGCGCGTTAATTTCTCGCCTTTATAAACATGGTAGAGACTTGCTCTCGTATAATCTTTGCGCACCACGTAAACTTTCATGGCTTAATATGTAACACCGTACCACTTCATAACATTTACGGATCCTATATATTTTGGTCGCTTCATTGCTAACGGAGTGACAAGTGATACTACCTACGAAAATTTAAATAATAGCACGCTCGTACGTAATGAGATCACGGTCAACACTTTCATCTGTCGGTTGTCGGCTGGCCGGGCAGACGGACGCAACCTATCTGTGTAACGGTTAACGGAATGGAAGGGCGCTGAATTACGCGCTATAAGGCACCTCAATTTGTAACCGAGCGACTCTTAGTGCCCTTTCATACGTGCCGGTTACCAGGTAGCCGTTGCCGACTGTCCGGTAATACATTTAGCTTTCACACGAGATGATTTTGTATCTCGTAGCGTCCTCTCTCCGTGGTTGTACCTGGGCGACTGGCCGCCGATGAGTATGAAAGCACGTAGGTCTTCCATACAGCACAGTGCTTTCGGCCGCCGGCTAACCGGTAAACGGCGACCGGATGCACAGTGGTGGATCCGGCGTGTACCCGGCAATCGCTCACCGGACAAATTACGCCGGTACGTGTTAAAGCTAACGTACCTGGCTACACACTTCACCGCCGAGTACCCGGTACCGGCTACTCAGCAACCGGAGTGTGTGAAAAGACACGAATGTTTGCGTGCGTAGTAAAATATTGGCCGTTAGATATTTATGAACGACAATCAATTAAAATAATGCATTTCCACGCATTCTGAATTTAAAAGATAAAAAGGTCAAAATGTTTTTTTTCACCATCTTACCTATGACCTCCTCTGCTAATTTGGGCATAGTTTTTAAAATTACCCTGTATATTTATTTTCAGATTTTAGGAGCAAAACTGCTTTACATCTGCATGTATCAAAGAAAAGTCCTTCGAAAGTTACTTACTTGGTTGTAGCAGATACAGAGGGCACGATAGTGGTTTGGGTGCTAAATGGCAAGAAGTTTGAACATCATGTTACTTTACCTAAGTACCGATGCGTTCCCGCAGCGTTAACGATCGACAATGAAACTCAAAGTCTTATTGTCGCTTACGTAGATCAAAAGGTAAACATGATATTTTATACATACTATTCTCATGATTTAAAACTTGTTCAGTTTGACAGTTGACGAAATACTTTATGTAGACTTAGAAAAAACACACAGAAGTACATAAGATTATTCTCGAAGTATATTGATTTTTTTTTATAGAATAGTATAAGTAGGTAATTGTTTAGTATAACACTTGGGGTTCATTGGGCCATAGTAGAAGGACGTTATCTTCCTTCTCCCTCTAGCACTACACACATTCTGTGACAAGTCTGACGCTGCTAAAATCAAATTACTTTTACAGTTAGTCGAGTACGACTTGTTAAGCAAGAAATTCACGGAATGGCCGGGAGAGGCGCTTCCGGCTCAATGGCGTTCTCGCCAAAACGCCATTACTTCTATTAGTGTGCATCCAAAAAAAGACGCGCTAGTATTTCAAGACGAAACATCTCTTTGGGTTATGCATAAAAGCTTACAGGTAAGAATTCGTTACAATAATTTCTTTTATAAAGCAAATGAGATGAAGATAAAATTACCATATTTCGAACCGGCTAATCGATGTTTTGTATGGTTTTTTAAACATATTGTATCCTACTCGTAAATATGCCGTGGAAAAAAGATAATTCTTTCATTTCTTAATGATATAATGGTATTCGTTCCTTAGTGTAAAAACCGGAGATGCTTTTTACTGGAGAGAAGGCATTTCATTTTAGTCTTCAGGGACGACAACGCATCTGTATTTAGATTCTTAAACGAGGGTAGATGTAAATATCTATGGGCCACAGCATCCACTTAAGATGGACTGTGAGTTTGTTTGTTACCCTTATTGTATAATGAAAAAAAAAATGGTATGATCATGAAATATATTTATTTTTAGATTTATATTTAGTTTTAGTACTGCAAATCACTAATGGCATTCCTTAGGAGAGGCCTGTATTCAGCAGCGACCTTGTGATAGGCTGTAATGATGATGATAATGTTGATAAAGTTGCTAACTGACATATTTCTTAAAAAAATAACTATTAGATTTAATTTTCCCTGCGCCTTAGTATAAGAAATGGTATAAAAATAGACTTTCCTCATGAACAATTTTAAATAATATAATAGGCGTTTCTCTTAATCTAAATAATCAATGAATATATGCAGGTATAATTAATAACAATAAAAAATTTAATGTATAATCTAAGGCGTGTGAATTCCGGTATTGTAATCGTTCAACCACGTGTCAAGCTTGACGATTAAGGAAAAAAATTCTCCCTACAATGGGAGTAGCCCATGTTCTGTAGTGGACTTTTACTGGTTAATAAAGAAGGAGAAGCATATTATCATTTTCGCATATTTCTTTTTAACATAGCTACCTTTTTTCTATGTAATTGTAGTATTATTTATAATCTTTAATCTGAGTGAGACCCATATTTAGTGAATACTGGTGTCACTCAGATCTCGTTATTCAACATGTTACTGGCCCGGCTCTGCGGCCTTAATACATTGCCAGTTCTAAATAACTCCTTTAGTCGACTGCAAGCGGATGGGAAGACTACTACAGTCCTTTGTTTTGTAAACCGCGAACGTTGTTTTCGACACGCGACTGATTTTGTTTAATGTGACAAAGAAAACGCTGTTATTATTTATGTGCGCACTTTGTCAACGTGAAGTTTATTTCAGATAAGTCATATTGCTTTATGTTGTATTTAAGTAAAAACAGTAACTGTTGTAAATGATAATACAACTGCGTGGCATATTTACCGTGCCAACTAGCCGCCCGCGCTCGCGCGTTCGCCAGCTGTGTCACAGTTAGTGTTCTGAATTGCAGGTGTAGTAATGTACATAAAAGTCTGGTTATCTGCATCTCTTGTAAAACAACCAAATTAAGTAACGCAGTACCGCCGCAGTATAGCCATCGGTCTGGTTATTGTAGGCCTAGTGTGTCATGACATGATTATTCTGCTAATTTTGGAAATAAGCAAGATATGCTTAGCATTTCCTTTCTCAATCCCTTTCGTTAAGCCCTTTATGCAGTGCAATAACAATAAAAACAAAGATAATTTAAAATTAAAAAATTTGTACAACCGACGTCAATATAATTTATTAAGAATAACTTAAAAACTATTGGTCAGACCTTGTTAAAATTTATATGGGACCACATGTGAAGCACCAGCTTTCAAATAAAAAAAAGAATCATCAAAATCTGTTCAACCAGAACATAGTTATGAGGTAACACACACAAAAGAAAGAAAAAAAAACATACAGTCGAATTGAGTACCGACTCCTTTTGGAAGTCGATAGAAAACACTGATTGGAAATTTTAAATATGGTGCTTAGTGGCGGCGCGACGTAAGAGAATCGACTGCACCCGTGAGTGTCGTAAGACAGACAGACTACAGCGGGAAACTGAAATAGGACATGGGTAGCAGCATTTTCCTGATAACACTTATGAAAAAATAAAAATGAACTGCGTTTGCCAGTACGCTTCCACGTGGTAAAGACATGCTGGTGCTATATTATAGTTGTGGCACAGCACTTTTGCATTTTGATTCTTAATAAATGTAGATGTCTTTGGGCCACAGCATCCACTTACCAGCAGGTGGACCGTGCGCTCGTTTATCACCCTTATTCTATAAAATACAAAAACGCTCACCAATCATGGCAACGAGGTAATCTATGAGGGAGGCCTATGTTCAGCAGTGGACTTTTGATGGTCTGTAATAATATGATGATGATAGTGATGGTTAGAAAAAGGCTAATCTTTTTTGTACAATATATTATTGTTTTTTCAGAATTCCAATCACGAACCAAAAGCAAAAAGGAAATCAAACAAGAACAGCTCAAGTATGAACCTTAAGATTATACCTATAAAGGTAAGTTTACCTATGCTGTTGTTTTTGTGATTTTCCATCTTACGGTGTGTCCAGTCATCAAGCACTAAGCTATGCATAGCAATAAAATATTTCGGGGACATGTGCAGACCGCCAACACGACTTGACCACACGTAACCCTTTCAGATAATCAGAGAAGACCTATGCCCAGTAGTGATAGTGATATTGTCATATATCAGTGGTCTTAAGATCTATTAGGCCTTTTCCTGAGTAGCTCCTACTATTATGCCGCTACCTCACGACGTGCATCAATACTTATGCTCCATGATATCCTCTCATTTCCATCACGTTGGACAAGTCATGATAATTTTTATTACGAGCAAGCGTTTTTGCATTAACTTTTATTTTCTCACGGTATATTTTATTTATCCATTTCTGTGACTTTCATATTTTATTTAATATAAGTAAAGGTGATAATCGAGCTCCCAGTCCGCTTGATGGTAAGCGGATGATGTGGTTTATAGTTCATAGATACCTACATTTATCTTTGATAAATAATCAAACTGCAGATGCAGAGAATTATAGTATCTCGTTACGAGTGAAAAGGGTTTCCGTTTCCGTTCCGTTTATACTGAACGTTGATTTTATAAATTTTTATACTTTTCTATGTACGCCAACGATTGTAGAATGTACCCTTGGCTAACCTTGCAGTTAGGTAAGTATAGCTCCATCACTCCATTTCATCCCGTGAGTTTCGTAAGAGACGACTATAAAAGGTTCCAGAAAAATCTCATGGCTTCTGAGAGATGGCGGCTTAACTACCTAGGTTATGACAATCGTAAAATACCCAGGCTGGCAACGGGCATCTGCTTGCGAAACGGTCCGCGAAGTGGATTAAGGCAAATCCTCTACAACTAGAGACCAATGGCCAGTTGTAGTAGTACTTTTACGGGCTAACGAACCAGACAAGAAGGAAGGAAAGGAACTACACAACATTAGTGTAGATCTAGATATACAAAATATATTATATCCGATCCGCTTCGGCTTCGCACGGCTGATTTCTGGATCTCGACAACAACGCCATCTACCGGGTCCAATTGTGAATCTAAACCATTCTTCAATTAACTTTCACATACGAAATTTCATCAAAATCGGTCCAGCCGTTTAGGAGGAGTTCAGTCAGAGACAGAAGAATGACATAATGTATAATATGCATGTATATACATATAAACCTTCCTCTTGAATCATTCTGTCTACCGAAACTGCATCAAAATCCGTTGCGTTGTTTAAAAGATCCAAGCGTACAGACGGCGGGAAGCATGAAGCAAATACAAAGAGGAGATGTTGTAATTAAATTTCACTATGTAACAACGCGTGACAATTTGCGGGGTGAGGGGATGCAAAGCCCCGCCCACTTTACATTATCTACATCTACTGATAAATAGTAAAACTACTCGAATCTTTCCATATCGATGTTGCAATGTAGCTTAGCTACCTTGACGGTAGATGGCGGCATGTCCACAAAATGTTATAAACTATAAAAATAATATTTTGGCGATTAAAATTTCTTTGTCTGAATGCAAAACAAATTTCAGCACCTTCGTATGATTATTTTATCATTACCGAGCTCTACGTACCTTTATATTTTTAGTTAGGACACAAAGTGTCGCCATCTAGTGTGGAATATATTTAATTATATTTTAAAGCGGACGTAAAGAGAATTTTCTAGAACTATTTTAATAAATTAGGTGTAAAATTACTTATAAATGAAATGTGATGCCATCCATAGCATCGGAGCGTCTATCTCATGAAACAAATACATTCAGACAAAGAAATTTTAATCGCCAAAATAATATTTTTATAGTGTTCATAATAATTTTGGGAACAGGCGGCCATTTATCGTCAAGTAAACCTCATAAAAAATAACAAAAAGACAAGGCCGCAATTAGAATTCAATTATTTTACCCAGTAACCCAACATTCAATATTAAAATTAAGGAAATTGTACTTGGCTGATTTTTACGAAATGTTTAAGTTATATTTAAGTGACATTCTATATGCAAAGAATCACTTAAATACAATTTAAATATGTTTATCATTTCGTGAAAGTCAACCTTCAAGAAATATTAATTTTATCCATAAAATAAAGTCTCTTTGAAACTAAATATTCTATGTTCAATATTAAGTAGGATATTTAATTTGGAACTAAATATCCTACTTATCTCACTAATATTATAAAGGTGTAATTTTGTGTTTTCTTTCTGTCTCCTTGAGCTTATTCCACACTAAGTATGTACTGTGTATGTGTAATTTTTTCACGAAGAAACTTCTGGACTATTATTTATGTGTGGGTTATACTACTTAATATCTCTGAGGGAGAACAAATAATAGACAAATTATTATAATTAATATAATTTTATATACAAATCAATTAAAATTTAAATATTTTATTCCAAATTAGGCATCCGAATGCACTTTTTGAATGCCAATCTAAGAACATTAAATTGTATTTAAGTGATTCTTTGCATATAGAATGTCACTTAAATATAACTTAAACATTTCGTAAAAATCAGTCTAAGTACAATTTCCTGCATTTTAATATTAAAAGTTGGATTACTGGGAAAAATAATTGAATTCTAATTAGGGCCCTGTCTTTTTGTTATTTTTATGAGATTTACTTGACGAGAATACGGCCTGTTCTCAAAATGATTATAAACTATAAAAATAATATTTTGCGATTAAAATTTCTTTATGTCTGAATGTAAAACAAATTTCAGCACCTTCGTTAATCATACGATTTACCAATACTGAGATCTACGGACCTTTATATTTTTAGTTCACATGACATAAAGTGTCGCCATCTAGTGTCGAATATATTTAATTATATTTGAAAGCCGACGCAAAGAGATTTTTCTAGAACTATTTTAATAAATTAGGTGTAAAATTATTTACAAATGAAATGTGATGCCATCCATAATATCAGAGCGTCTATCTGAGTAGTTTTTACAATATAAAACACAACACTTCATCCTTTTCGTCTTAATACTACGAAAATACACCGATTTGCGATTTTGTCAACACATAAGCGCACAGAACGAATGCTGACAGTATACTAACTAAAGCCACGCCCACTGCGATGACGTCAGGACCTACTTAAAATCACAGTGCACAGTTGCTTATGCCGTCTCCCCTTTGTATTAGCTTCATGGCGGGAAGCGACTTTGTTTCATACTATGGTGATAGTACAGACAGATGTTATCTGTAGCGAAAAAAAAATTAACAGCGTAACAACATCTCATCCTTATGGGGCGTTTAGCTTTCAAACAGTAAAGGCTACGCTATTTAAGAATTAAACCTTTAATGTAAATTTTGTTTATTTACAGTATTTAGCTGGATTCCATTGGGTCGGGGAAGACGAAGCAGTCACGTTGGAAATTCTACCGGAAAATATAGTTTCGCAACTTCCACCAGTTTTAGCCATTAAGAGACACAATATGGGATAAAACATAAAATATATTGTTCTGTTTATTACTATGTAATAATGTTATTATTTAGTAAAAAACTTTGGTTTAAATAATTGTTTTATTACTTTTTATTGTTTCCGCGACAAACACATGTTATTTCATCACAGAATAATCGACTGTACACAGGTACGCTTAAGAGTTATAGTACTTTTATCAGGTTTTTATTTAGTCACTTTCTTTTTTGTCTGTAGGATTTAGTAAGTAATTGATTTTAAACTTCCCGGTGATCTGAAAACTTGAAATGTAAGAATATGATAAAAACGTGGTAATGTTTTTTTTTAATTAAAAAGAAACACTTGTTTAATACTAAGTTCCTTAAAACTAATCCAAGTGGGGCCGATATCAAATACTTGAGCAATAACAACATGTATGGGTTTTATAATTTAGTATTATGATTTATGATCTCTATTCACATAATTACAAAGAATTGTTTCTTAGTAAGAATTTGTAGTGTTTGCGCATACATAGCTGCATTGTATTCTGTGCTTATGAAGTTAAGGCTTAAAATCATAGATTTGTCTGAGATTTGTTGTTTAAGTTTGCTTTTACTTTACAAACTACATATTAAGTAAAATGTTTCTTTAATAATGTGAATAACTTTGCACATCAGTAAAATTGAATTGCGTGACTGTTAGTTGTTGCGATCTTGTCCACATCTCATCGGTAACTTCACAGCGCGCCGGGGGCAGCTTGTATGATATCGGGTCTCCAATAACTCCACTGAAACAATATAATACTTTACAGTATATTAAACCTTTCCCTGTCCCATGAACCATATATGAACATTTCAAATGTTTAACTATTGTGTCTATTTCGCGGACAAGGACACTGTTAACATAAAATATTTATACAAATTATTCCAGTAAGATGAATAATGATGGTAGATATTTATCTGATACTCCGCGAAGGGTAAAGGAAGAGGTTTTAATCTAAAAATATAAAACCTCTTCCTTTACCCTTTGCGGAGTGGAAGAACCCCACTCCGCGTACCATCCATAGATTCTGCCCTCGATATGTCATAGTGCTTCACCACTCAACACCTCCCTCTATTTTTAAATTGTGTTCAATGTTGTTTAATATAGCGTTTTGCTGATATTATACCGAAAAGTAAGTGTTACCCATGGACGTATAAATAAGGTGGATTGAATCTCGCTATACAACTCACCGAGGCACCCATAATAAGTCAGCTCGCTTGTACGTACAAGGGGTCACGCACACATTCACACTAATAATAAGTCTATCGCCCGCCATTACGCAACAAACGTCGTCCGTGATAAGTAGATGTAGTAAGTAAAAACCAAAATCAATATGCCGTCTTGCGTCGTTAAATTTTGTAAAAATCATAGTGGTTTTATCAAAAACCTTAAAAGAATCACCTTTCATAGGTGTGCCAGTAACTATAATCACTTATTTGTGAATTTTATGTCTTAAAATGCTATTTTTGGAACACAAAACATGAGTCACGTGATCAGTGTTGTTAATTATTTATAGGGAAAATTACCCAAAATTTGGGAAATTGCTATTTTTACCCACGTCGGCACGGATACGGTATATATGTTTGCCCAACAACCTCTTAAGGTTGTTTTATGTGCACTTTTTTCTTACAATTTTCCTGAAAAATTAACCGATCAATTATAATGCGGTTATATGCATTTTCTGGCCATAGTTCGTTATGTTGTGCTGTAATCATGATTTTTATTTTTTACTATGTTACTATTTCCTGACAATTGGAATGATTATAATACGGTTAAGAAGGTCCTTGAATGTGTTGCCATTTTAACTTAGTATATAAATTTCATATCGAATCAAAAATACATATCAAAATTAGAAATGAATTTTTCCAGCAAAAGAAAAGTAAAGCGAGATGGGAGGGTAACATTTGTTATTACTCGGTATCATATATCTTTAATAAGAGCTAAGTGCAAAACAGCTTTCCTTGGCACTTTAATGAATATAGAAAGCTTAAAATATTTATATGAAAAATGCATTCATAATGAAAGAAAAAATAAAGTGCCAACCTACAAACTAAGTCAGGATCATTTTTCATTTAGAAATATTTTTTTCTTGTATTCGAATGCAATGTGGCTTTAATGACAACCCTAATGTCAGACAGTTCAAAAGTTGCTACAGAAAACTGCTGGCACATCTAGATTTTAGATGCTTAAATACAGGAAATTGTGTTCCTTTGGAACAAATAGCTGTGCTTAATTGCACTTCGGCTACTCAAATAATCTATTCCGCCACACCATCATACCGTCACGAAGAAGGTAATGATAATATTTGTGATTCATTATCATTTTTAAATGAAATTACTGAAGAAGATGATGAGCTAGCTAAGCGACTAGGGATAGAATCACATAATGACTATCGTAAGTTAGTTATAGGATATCTGGCGGGTAGTATTGCTTATTATGCAACAAAAAAAATTAAATGCCAAAAATGCATCGCGCGTTTGTATACTGTAGAAAGGCATTTCTTTCATAAATAAATAAATTTAAAAAAAATTGTGAAGGTTTATGTTTTCCATCTAACGATTTATTTAATATTTGTGTACTGCGAAATAGTTGTGCGAAAGATTATTAAGAAAAACATTACAATGTACAATGAAAGGCAACAAAAGTATATACTTACAAAAATATTAGAAAAGTTTATTTCCAATGACAGGGTTTTCAGCTTGGAATTTGAGCACACATTCGCAGGGATAGAGCACAAGATAAGTCTTATTAAATATATAGCAGAAAAATATTTGGCGACTTGATTCCACCATATTTCTAAATAAGAAGGGATTTCAAGAACCTTCGAAAGTAAAAGACAGTTGTTTAAAAAATGTATTCAACAAAAAGGTTTTAACATTGTTGTTTGTTATGAAAATGAATAAATTATGGTAATTATTTATAACTCATTGTCATAAATAATAACTATAATTTACACTTGCAGAAAATTTAAAGAAATAAATATATTAACTTTGGCCTCTCAGTATATTTACGAAAATTTAATGTATGTTGTGATCTAGTATTTAGTGATGTACATTCTGTAAATACTAGGAAAAAGCACAAGTTAGTTATACCAGTTAATCGACTCAAAAGAGTCAGTAAATTCTTCATGTATACGCTTTCACAACAAAGTCCCAGAAAATATGCTGGCATTATCTATCAGTTTATAATTTTTACCAAATAAAAATTGTTTAGTAAGGATTATTAGGTTATACTACTAAAGAGTACATGATTGATAATAATCCCTGAGAATGAGGTGATTGCTATCATGCTGTTTCTAAATGTTTTCATACTAATTCTAAAATAATATATTGTAAATTAGTTTTATATTAATTTTTTGGCTACCTATAATATGTTCATTTGTAATATATTTCGTTCCAGTAATATAATACAATTTTTGTATAATACAATATTTGTAAAAAAAATAATTTAAATCGAAATTGATTAAATTGAATAATTCGATTTCAACCAAAATCTAAATCTTAAATTCATAGATCTTTTTTAATCGTCAAATGTGTTATTTATATTAGTTACGTAATAATAAATTGGTATTTCGTCAAAGTTATGTTATATTTTGACAGATTGTTTTATTACAAAAAATGGGGAAATTTTGTTTCACATGACAACCCTATATAACACGCAAACATACTTGCACCGCCGCCATTACAGTTCATCATTCCTTTCTCAACAAAATTCTGTTCTGTCTGCCTTATTTAATACGTCCATGGTGTTACCAGGTCTGTCTCGCACTCCGCGCTTTAGCCATGAGATATAACTACGCTCCGCGGCCCCATACAAGGGGCTAATTCCGTGAGGTTGCCAGGCGCGTGTTTGAGCTAACGCGCGCCTTACGTTAACAAAAAAGTATTCTTCTCTTATAAGTATTTAGGCACTTAATATTTATTATTGAGTTTTTATTCAAGTATGGCCTCTCAAAAAGCCAAAAGGTACTGCATACCATACAGGTGCTTAAATAACAATAGGAATGTCGACTTTTTATTCTTTATTGTTCCTAAGGATACCGAAAGGTAAGATATTATTATTTAAAGGTAGATCTAGATAATTAGGTTTCTAGTTACTGACGCCATAGTTACATTATTTGCAATTTTCGACTTTTTCGCGTATAATGCCAGCCAATGACCATAAATAACTTTCAGTGTAAGTAGACCTCCCAGTACCAGTGACTGCCTACTAATACAATCTCAGCATATACTGGCATATACATAGTTTAACACTTGGTCGATAAAAGAAAGGTGCCGTCGCGTGTCACATACTTATTTTTAAATAGCCAAAAATGTGAAACAGACAAGTGACGGCTCCGTGGCGCAGTGGCTTTGCTTTGAGTTGCAGCGCTAAGGACCGCTGATTGGAATCCCGCACAGAACAAGTATTTGTATGGCCTACAAATAATTGTTCTGATCTGAATGTTTGTCCTTGTAAAATATATGTATGTAAGCTGCCCCCGCGATACAGGAGAAAATCCTAGTGTGGAGGTAACGTTTTTTAAAAAGAGGGGAAGAGAGACAAGTAATGAAATTAAAAATTTTGTACAACCGACTTCAATACTAATACGCATTATAATGCATATTATGAAGTATAACTCCAAAATTACTCGTCAGATCTTGATTAAATTTATATGGGATATATAAATTATAAGGTACCAGCTTTCAAATAAAAAAAGAATAGTAAAAATCCGTTCACCTAGAAAAAAATTCTAAGGTAACACATAAAAAATATAGTTGAATTGAACACCTCCTCCTTTTTTTGAAATCGGTTAAAATGGTAAGTAGGTAAATTATCTGAGTTTCAAAGACGTTCGCCTTGTTTATAATTTTAATTTTTGTCTGTTGTATATTAATTATTAACCTTCCTCACATTGAACAATAATGTTCCCTCAGTGCATTCTTCTACCAACTAATATCAAAGGATTCAATTTGTTTTCTCACAACACATAACCCTGCAGTAGGTGCAGCCTGAACAAAGGCGCGTAACGGGCTAAGTGATACTGACTTTCGCACGCGGACGTAAGGTGCATTTTGATTTAATATGCGCGCCGCAATATTTTTTTTCTACGATTTAATCTGTAGGTTAATTTGACGAAGTTCGTGTCCGAAGCGTGCAAATTATTATGAACATTAGCGACGTTGTAACTAGGTTTAAACTCGCAAGTTTGCTATCAGAGAGTGATCCTTCTGTTCTTGTACTATTATTTATTCTGTGGTGTTACTTAAATCAAAAAATAAAGAAATTAAAGTACAAATAGCCTATATATATATATATATATATATATATATATATATATATATATATATATATATATATATTTGCCTTCTTGAAGGCACAAAGATAGAATATTAAACAAGCCTGTGAGTGATTTGCCGCTGGAATTGGATCAACTAAAAGGTAGGAAATAAATAAAATGGGTTCGTTCTTTTCAAGGGAAATGTACTCGTAACATACCTAAGACCAAAAAAAAAAGTTGGCCACGTTCTGTTTGTAGGAACCGAGTGCTTTTTATAAGTAAGGTTCATTCTTTTCAAAGGAATTGAACACACGCCTATCAAATAATTTCCGATAGTGAAATAAAGTAAGTTTCGTTCATTTCAAAGGAACTGAATACCTACATACCTTTCGAATAATATTCGATAATGAAGAATGAAGTAAGATTCGTTCATTTCGAAGACCCTTTCAAATAATATCAGATAATGAAGAATGAATATATAATTA